AGAAACCCTACCCATTTCCTTGACAAGAGCAGAACGTAAGGCTCGCCTTTTCCCTTTGGTCTTTTACTGCTTCCTTCCTACTAACCGTGTCCCGATTAGTATTTAAACCTATTCCCAGTTATAGGAAAAAACCATCACCTCCATTCTAACAGCGACAGCCCTATCTCCTCCCCTTCAAAGTCAGGATTCTCGAGCGATCTACACTAGAGATCTCCACTTCTTCACTCTTCACCATTCAGCCCACATTCCATGGCTTCTGCACGTGACCATAGTATTCCTGCCAATGTCATCGGGGCCGACCTCAGTCCTTACATTGCAGGCCACTCAACTGCATTTGACGTCACTGGTCATTCCCTCTGAATGCGTGACACACAGTGAAACACATTCCTTTTGCTTCCATGATACTGTGTTTGCCTGCTTTTCTGCCTAATCTCAAGGCAATCCAGAATCCTTTTCCTTTGTTTGTGCCTGAAATGTCCACGTTTTTCTGGCTCTCTTCTCACCTACCATGTATTTTTCTAGATTATTTCATCTACAACCGTGGCATAAATTACCATTCATGTCCTGATGATTTTCAATCTTAATTTCTAGCTCCAGATGCACATATCCAACTGCCCTTTGGATACCTCCTCTTGAATGTTCCATGGGCACCTTATTATAATACCACCACCTGAATACACACACACACACACACACACACCTGCTCACATGCATGCATGCACGCACACATCCATAGCCTGCTCCTCTTCCTCCCCTGTTCCCTATCCCAGCAACTGCAACTACCATTCATCTAGTTTCCTAAGGCAAAACTTCTAGAATCATCCTTGATTCTTCTCTTTCCCCCTCAACCCATCAATCACTGCATTCCAAATTCCTTTCAATTCAACCTCTTAAATAGTTCTTAACTTCTTAACATTGGTCCACTCTGTTCCACCGTCAGCTACCACCAGGCGCAGATAATTTCACACTGTGTCCCGTCTGAGCTCCTGTCTTACTCAAATCCAGTCTTGTTTCCATATCCATCCAGAACAGATCATCCAAAACTGCAAAACTGATTATTGCTCTCTGCTGAAAAAAAGTCCACTTCCTTCCTCTGGGATTGGCTCTTCCATGCACTCACACTGGACTGGGTGTTTCCTCCCATCATAATAACCCAGGCTCCATCAAACTCTGTTGTAATTATTTACCTGCCTGCATCCCCCAGAGAGACAAATCTCCCTCCTTTGTTCAACTAGTTCTTAGCTATTTCTTGAAGCCCTCCCATGCATAATGCGCCCTTAATCAAGTAGTGAAAAGGACAAACATGTCTCTTCCTCATACGTTTGTCACCCACTTGCCCTTTCTGAGCACAGTTTATGACACACAGAAGTTGCTTAGTAAGTCTTTGCTGAGTAAATAAATGATAAAATGAGTACTTTCTACCAAAGACAAACTAATTACCCTTATCCCCATTCCAATTTTAGAATAAGACTAATGGGAACATATTTTATAAAAGTGATCTTTGGGGTCAATGTTTACAGAAAGCGTCTTTTTGTTCCAAAGGGCAGAGACAAATTATATCTGAATATTTTCAGGCTGACAGAAGTCTTTAAGCAATCACATTTCTCCAATGAAGATTATGCTGGTAGCCAAATTTATGAAATCAGCCAAGCTCTTAAGAAACTTAAGACAATCAACATAGTCCAGTGATAAAGAAGTGCACTTTGTGGAAACTTGAAATGACCACCAGCCCTGCGCAAAGCAGGACAGACCCAGCTCAATAATGGCTGCAGAGGCCATGACAGGGGCCCCCGGGGACGCCTCCGGTGATAAAGCTGACCAACGGGGGGGCGCCTGGGTGGCTCAGTCAGTTGGGTGTCTGCCTTCAGCTCGGGTCATGATCCTAGGGTCCTGGGATCGAGCCCCGCATCGGGCTCCCTGCTCCGCGGAGAGCCTGCTTCTCCCTCTCCCTGCCGCTCTTCCTACTTGTGCTCTCTCTCTATCTCTCTGTCAGATAAATAAATAAAATCTTTTAAATAAAAAGAAAAAAAGCTGTCCAATGGGATCAAGCCTGTCTAATGTCAGGGGGCCAGTGGGGACACTGTCTTCCAATTTTGAAATGTATCATTGCATAACGTAAGTGGGGAGCCTCTGGTGACCACCCAGATTTTCTGAAGCTCAAACTATATAAACATTGTAGTCTTGCCTGGATCACGTAATATAAAATTTGCCATTTTAACCACTTTTAAAAGTATGATTCAGTGGTATTGAGTACATTCACACTGTTGTGCTACTGTGACCCCCATCATCTACAGAACTTCTCCATCTTCCCAAACTGAAACTCTGCCCCACTGAACAACGACTCTCCAGTCTTCCCCGTCCAGCCTCTGGCGCCCACCCTTCTATTTTCTGTGTCTGTGAATCTGACTACTCTGGAAACCTCAGACACGTGGAATCACACAGGATTTGTCCTTGTATGACTAGCTTATTTCACTCAGCATAATGTCCCCAAGGATCATCCATGTTGTAGCAGGTATCAGGATGTCCTTCCTTTTTAAGGCTGAGTAAGATCCCATTGTACAGAATGACCACATCTTGACCCTCCCCTCGGGACATGTGGATGGTTGCTGAAATGTCGCTGAAATGTCACGCTCACTCTCAGCCGTGTGTGTGGGATCTCAGGCCCTGACCAGGCACATGGCATATCCATCACTGAGTGTGGGATATAGCTGAGGATACTTCCACTCTGGCCCCAGAACCGCCTTGGAAATCCCAGAAGGACTCCGGCTTGTTGGCCTCAGCCATGGGCTTCTGAGTTGTGTGAGGTTTAAACAGCTAAGAACACCACTTCCCAGTCATTATTGTCAGAGGAAAAAAGCTGACACGGGACCGAAAGCACTCTCCGGATTCCCTTTTATTTAAACTGGGAAAGGCCAGCAGCAAACTTCTGCAATCATGGACAAGCCTTGTGTCTGTCAGCATAACTTCCAATGATCTAAACCCCAAATAACTGTTTTCTCTTCAAATCGGTGTCTCTTCCTAAATGGGGTTATTCTCTCAACTATCACTAATAAATAATGAGAAGAAGCCAATATCTTGAGACTTTTATATCTCCTTTATCTTTGGGAGCCTCTCTGCTGGTCACCTACCTCTTCGGTCCTCTCCTCTGCTCCCAGCCCCCACAGGCTCCTTCTGTACCAGATCGCCTCGCCCATAGGCTTCGGGGTAGGTTTGGCACAAGGCTGGAGGATTTCTATCCCTCTGCCCCAAAGGGCATCTCTGGCCAGGGGCTGCTTCTCTTCTGTGGCTCCAGCTCCTACCGGGCAGACACACCAGGTTCTACTCCCATCGGATGGGCTCTGGTAACCCCACCACCTCTCATTGCCCCTCTAGCCCCAGAGGAGTAATGGCTTCCTGCTTTTGACAATCTGGGTTGCCTCACGGTTCCCTTTTATGGATTCTTTTTTTGTTCCATTGTCTCTATAACCAAGTTTCTTTGTGAAGTGTCCAGGAGAGCCTTTCTAGATCTTCTCTCATTCCCACCCAAGAACGTGGATGACCTTCCTCCAAGGTCCATAGCTCTCCAGGACCAAGCCCTGTCCTGCTCCTCATCTGGACTGTTCCTCTGCTTCTGGGTCTTCCTGTCTCCAGTCTACCTCCTGGTCTGCTGCTACGTTCCTGACCCTCAGACATGGCCCACAGCCCGCTCCTTCTCCATGCTGCACGTCCCCCTCATTCCCACTCAAGTCGTGGCGACTTTTCTTCTCTGGAAGGCTTTCCCTTCACCTCTCCCCTCAGTCAAGGCCCACCACTTACGCAAGGCCCAGCTTACTGGGCTGCACAGGGGCCTTCGCAGGCCTTATCAGACCACACGTTTCCCTTCCCCACCTCCTCTAGAGCGGACTCTCTACCCACCCCCCCGGCCCCCCGCCAACCTCCTTTCCGCTTTGACTTAACTCTTTCATCTGAGTGTTACTCTGTTCCCAGTAAGACAGGAAGCCCTAGAAGGCAGAAACGACACCTTGCATTTGATCCCTCAGCACCTCAAACAACACTCTGTGAAGCCTACATCTCATAAAGCAATCGCTGAATGAACAAGGAGAATAGCGACGGCATGTTCTCTGCATGACAAACACACCTTCTTTCTCTCCAAAGGTAACAACGCCTATGGTTGGACAGTGTCCCCAGAAAGCCACAGTGAGGTATTAGGCTCTGATGCCTGTGAACGTGACCTTGTTTGGAAATACAAACTGTGGATGTGATCAAGTGAAGACGAGGTCACACTGGAGCAGGGTGGGCCCTACTCCAACATGAGTGGTGTCCTTGTAAGAAGAGGACATCGTGAGGACAGAAGCAGAGATCAGTGTGATGCTGCCACAAGCCAAGGAACAGCCGGGGCTCCCAGAAGCTGGAAGAACCAGGGAAGGCTCCTCCCCACCCCCCAGACACTCTGCAGGGAGCATGGTCCTGCCCAAACCAAGACTTCAGACCTCCAGCCTCCGGAGCGACAAGGCAATAGCTTCTGGTTCTTTTAAGCCCCCCGGTTCATGCCACTTAGTTCCAGCAACCCCAGGGGACCACTACAGCCACCAGACCCCACGGTCCCATCCACATAGATGGACTTCAGGGACACGGTTCTTCTGTCCTCGCTGGGCACAGGCAGAACACTGAGGACCCCCGTTCCTCGTCGGACCCAGGCAGGGATGGAGAGCGTCTCCACGCTTCAGGCCCACTGTGTCGCTGCAGAGCTCATGGGTCCCGTTGCTCAGCTGCCTTCCTCCATCCGCACTCACTGACCCTCAGCCTCTGCGGGGGCTCAGCCGCCTGGCTCGCCACACCACTGCCCTCCAAGAGCCTCATCTTTTCAAGAATGCTTCTGAGCACAAATGAAATCTTAAAACTCCAAAATAAAACTTCAATTTAAAAAAACCTTGCATGGTGACTAACATAACATAATAAAATAAAATTTAAAAAACCAAAACAAATAAAAAAAAACAACCTTTTTTTTTTTTTTTTGCTTCGCCTATCACTTCTTTCTCTAGGCTCCCAATCTAGATAAATTCAAATAAAGCTTTTTAGGACTGACTACTTAAAAGAGGCTGAGGCAACACACACTTTCTGGTCAGGTTCCAGGCGTTACCACGTTCTGTTTTGTTGCCATGTGCCTGCTGCACCCTCTGCGTTTCTTTCTCAGCCCGGGACTCGTGATAAAATACACCCAACACGTCAGGGGTGCACAGCCTCGGCTTCAGTGCCCCCCCCCGATGCCTGGAGGCCCGGCCCGCAGGACGGGGCCAGACTTACGGTTCTGGGGGAAGCATAGTATGTCGGCGATGCTGCTGGAGGCCTGGCCACGCTCTGAAAGGAGGACGGGCAGTATCTCTGGCCTGTGTCCGGAGGGGAAGACGAGGCGTAGAGGCGATTTTCCAGTCGCTCAGGCTCGTGCTTGTAGGACTCGAGAGGAAAGGTGTGCTGCTTGGCCACCTGGGTGGGTGTGGACGGAGAGGAAGAGAGGCCCGAAGCTGCGGGGGAGACCACAGAGCGCTGTTAGAAGTCTGACTGAGGCAGAGGAAGGCCGAGAATGCGCTTCCGTTTCTTGGTACCAAAAATCTCAAACGGCAAGAATTGGCATTATTAAATCCTGAATGTTGGGGACAAGCTTTTACTTACTTACTTACTTACTTACTTTTTCATTCATTCATTCATTCATTCATTCATTCATTCATTCATTCATTCATTTATTTATTTCTGCGTTGCATCCCCCAAATATGAAGCCTTAACCCCTGGCACCTGTGAAGATTTGGGAATAGGGTCTTTGCAGATGTCATCAAGTTAAAATGAGGTCACACTGGAGTCAGCTTGGCTCTTAACCCAACCAGACCAGTGTCCATATAAGAGGAGAAGACATGGAAACCTAGACGCACACTCAGAGGAGAAGCCATGTCACTGGGAGCCAGAGACCGAAGTGATACATCTATGGGCCAAGGAGCGCCGAGTGCAGCCGGTGACCATCGGAAGCCAGCGGTGAGGAAGGATGCTTTCCAGGGTGTCAGGGGAGGACGGCCCGGCTGACACCTTGGTTTCAGACCTCTAGCCTCTTAACCGGGAGAAGAAACTTCCGTTGTTTTATGCCACCCAGTGTGAGGTACTTTGTTATGGCAGCTCTAGAAAACTCATAGAGTCCAGTGGCTGGATTTGTTTTCCAAGAGAAGCAGAATCTGGATTCGGGTCTGGTGTCTCACATTTCTGGATAACTCAGTAAACTTTTTATTTTAAATTTGATATTTAAAATTTTTAAACCATGGGAGTCAAAGCAAAGATGTCAGTACCAAGGGCTACCTCTTTGCCACTTGCCGCTTCTGACCCAGACAAAGACGCGTCAGGCTGCAGAGCTGTAAGCCTGGACCTCCTTTGCAGGGCTACTCCGTCCGGAATTCCAGAGCCCTCTCCTCACAGTCCACGGTCCCTGTACACATGTGTGTTCCCTTCTCTGCTTCCACCTTTGCTCCCCGGAGGAACCTCCTATTCCTCGGGAATCAATTCAACCAACCCCTTTCTTCTGACTCTCCAGCCCTGTGACCCCTCTACCCTGGACTCGTGAGCACATCTCACCCACATGAGGTCACAACACGCTATTTAACACTGAAACCAAATGTGAAAGTATGTAAGTTTCCCGTCCCCAACAAAATCCCCCATCTGTCCTTGGGGCAGGGGTTCTGGGTTGGCCTTTTGGGTCCCCACAGCAGCCAGTGCTGCCCTGGTGGGGGGAGGGTGCCTGGAAGATCCTCGCCACCCAACAGGCAAGGCGAGAGAAGGGAGCACGGAAGGGTGTGAGGCTCAAGCTTTGTGGGCGTCTTCTCTCCGTCCCCGTGGCCAGGGAGTGTTCAGGGTACATATTTCCCTGGTGGGAATTTCGGAAGGAACCAAAGGAGGAGGGTCATCTTCTAGGGAACCCCCTTTCCCATGAAGCCATCCCAAGTGGGATGACCTCTGGGAAGCAGGTCTAGGTGAAAGCAGGAGATAGAACACTTGATCACCCATGGTTTTGTGGGTCTCAAAACTTAAGATACCAAAGGCCTCCAAAAGGAAAGCGCCCAACTCTTTTAGAAACAAAAGTTTTCCCCCAAAGGTCTTGAGAAGCAAAGCCCGTTTTGAGGTGGGGCTTGCGGATGGGGGAGGAAGGAGAGGGAGGATTAAAAGCAGGAGATCTGGTGGTTTCCAGCTGTTGGGGGAGGGGTGGCCCGGCAGGCAGGGTGACAGAGGAGCTGCCTGGCCCACGTCTGGGCCCTTCTCTAGTGTCACGGCTTCGATGTTCCCCAGGGGTGCCCACAGAGCGGTGAGGGATGGAGATGCCCGCCAAGGCTCAGAGGGGGCGTGCCTGGGCCTTTCAGAGGGCTCTGCTGGGGGGCAGAAGAGGGAAGCTCATGTGCTACTCTGTGGAGCCCAGCACCCCATGGGCCTCACGCCCCCAGGGGTGGTGGCTCATCCTTCCATGGTTCTTCCAGCGAGAGTCCTCAGCTGGCCCACTAGCCTCGTTCCTCACAGAGCAGCCCAGAACAGGCTAGTTCTCACGTCACAGGCTAACAGGGAATTTATGTTCTGTGCTCCCAACGCTCGCCGCAACCACTGGACACAGACGCCCCCTGGGTGCTTCCAGGGGCGAGTACTAGAGACCCAACAGACGGGTGAAACAGAGAGGGATGGGGGGCATTTGAACTCAAAGCTGGTGCCACCAACCACGTTCTAACAGCCTGTGAGAGCCCCTTGGGCGAAGCCCCTGTGGGGGCCTGGCTCTCCATGTTAAGGAGGGGCCGCCCTCAGTGCGGACGCGCCCGCGTCTGTCCAAACACAGGGCACAATCCAAACCGGCCCCCCCATCTTGCCTGTGACTCTACCCCCAGACCCAGCTCGGACTCTGGCTCCAACCACACCCCCAGGGCTGTTTTCAGAAGCCGGGACAAAAATGCCTCTGTGGAGGCATTCCGGCAACGTCTACCAAAACTGCAAAGGCACATGCTCCTTGACCCAACAGTCTGCTTCTGGGATTTCCTTCCGTAGATGCAGTTGCGTGGTTGCTGAAGGCGAGCGCGCGGGGTCATTCGTCACAGTGGTGCTTTTAAAAGCAGAGACTGTGGGGCGCCTGGGTGGCTCAGTTGGTTAAGCGACTGCCTTCGGCTCAGGTCATGATCCTGGGGTCCCTGGATCGAGTCCCGCATCGGGCTCCCTGCTCGGCAGGGAGTCTGCTTCTCCCTCTAACCCTCCCCCCTCTCATGTACTCTCTCTCTCTCTCTCTCTCATTCTCGCTCTCTCAAATAAGTAAATAAATCTTTAAAAAAATAAATAAATAAAAGCAGAGACTGCAGGTGCAGATGCTCGTCGGCAGGAAGGGGCTAACACGGCGACGGCACATCCACGCAGAGAGCCATGGCTCCCTGACGGGCGCGACGGGCTGCCGCCTCCTTCTTACCTCTGAGACCGAGCGGGAAGTGAAAAGGCAACCCCCAGAGCCATCTGCACAGAATGACCCCACTCACAGTCTCAGAAAGGGGGATAAGAACGTACATACGAATATTCGGCCCGTCTGCACGGGCCCAGAGTATCTCGGGGAGGATGCGGAGGCACCGCTGGAGACAGGAAGGGAGGGAAGGGACAACTGTCATGGTCCACCCTTTCCTATTTTACAACTTTCATATCATGTGGATGCCTGGCAACTCAGAAAATTACTTTCTTCAGCCCCTGTTCAGCTTTTGAGCCAAGAGGCTGGCTGACACCATATAGACGCGCCTCCCGCCTCTTGCCCTGATCCCAGCTGCCCGCCCCAGCTCTGGGGAGGTCTATCTCCCCCTCTCCCTCTCTGCCTCCCTTTCTTTC